ACCTTACATTTTAACTAATCACTGTTAGAAGGTGAGTTTTTGTGTTTTCCATTTTGTCTCTTTTTATTTTGAATACCTATGTCAGTAAAAGAGGAAATTTATGAAAAGAAGGACATAAAAATTTAAGAAGTTTTAGTTCTCTGGAATTTCTGGAACATAAATACAGTTCTCCTCCTACTGAAGGAGGAGGTAGAGCTAGCAGACATGATTATTCAGCTTTACAAACATTCATTAACCACAGCAATGGGCTAGGTGCTGGGGATGCAGCAATGTATAAAACAAAGACCCGTTTTCTAGAATGGATGATGAAATGCAGAAAAGGATTGGTCAATGTTCACAGGGTATCATGGGAAACAGAAGATAAGGCCATTCGGATCATATTAGATTTTCAAGAAAGCCTTCCAGGAAGGGAGGGCATCTAAGCAAATGCAAACATGCTGCATATGATTTGTTACTCTGTGAATAACAATTGGCAGCATTCAATTCTGTATCTTTAAAAAATTACTTCTTCATTATGCTCATCTTTGAACTGAGTGAAGTGTACTAGGAAAGGTCAAGATTTATTTTTCTTTACACCTTAAGAAGTGTGTGTAGGCAGGGAATATGGTTTAATAGTGGAGTGCTTGCCTAGCATGCATGAAGCCCTGGGTTCAATTTCCCAGTACCATATCAACAGAAAAAGCCAAAAGTGGCAGTTTGGCTCAAGTAAAGTGCTAGTCTTAAGCAAAAGAAACTTAGGAACAGTGCCCAGGTCCTGAGTTCAAGTCCCAGCACTGGCAAAAAAAAGAAGTGTGCGTGTTTATGTACATATGTGTTTGTATATGTTAGTATCAAGGACAAAGATATGATCTGAGAATTCAGAGTCTCATTCCAATGGATTAATGTAAACATCAGACTTCAAGTGCAGAGTTCTATTCTGACAGTCATCTGACTCTTGAAGAGGAATGAGGAAGGGAAGCAAAACTCTTTTTTAAAAAAATCTATAAAGGAAATGTAAGAAAAATAATAACTACTATTCAACAACTGCTATAAATACTAAAGAGCAACTGAATAGCAACTGCTATTCAGAGCTCAATGACATGCCATCTATATTCCATATTTAATAACAATAATAGCATCGGCCAAGGTTTATATAGCACCTACAATGTAGCAAACCATGTAAGTAATCATTTAATCCTCAGAATAGCCTCTGAAGTATCACTATGCCTTCCTTTTTCACAGAGGTATGATTAAGACATAGAGAGGCAAACAATTACTCTCTCCTTGACTCCATTTTTTCAAACTTCACTGGTAAGGATTGGGACCAGACATTTTAAAAAGGCAAATAACTATACTCTAAATAGAGACTGGAATCTAATTTTTAGTAAACTCAGAAAATGGCTTAGATTCTTCATTAACTTAAGTGAATTAACACATGATATTATGTCATCACAGAACCATGAATGTAAGTGGTGAAGCTGTGAGACTGAAAGGCAGAATAGCAAACGTAAGCATGTCCTCCAAATGGCAAGCTTGCCAACAGAGGAATGCATCTTCTCCATAACGGAGAGAAGAGCATCAAATGTAAAGTGTAATCCACAACTACCTCACATAAAGCAACAAAAGTAGCCAGTGGTAAAAAGCTTTTGAAATAAACTTGTGTCTGCTGAACAGTGGAAAAATATTATTTCCCAAACCTTAAGAGCACTTTATATATAGGTATGCCCAGCATTTATACTATATTTTAATTATCTATCCATGTAGTAGATTGCTCTTAGGACTACAAGACCTTGATGCTAGGGTCTTATTGCTCCTGGGACTTAACAGTTATCCCTGAATCTAATAACAGAAAGGCTTATTGAACAAACAAATAAATTATTTGATAGGTGACTTTTAATAAAATCTAAAGATTAGAAAGCTTTCCAGGACAATTTAAAAACCTCAAATTGGAAAAGCTTGTTATTTATGAACAGGTTCTAACCTCCCTTTTCTGGCATTTACAGCCTTCCTACACCAGCCTCAGTTTACCTTAAGACCTTCTCTTCTACTTTGTCCTCTTACTTAAGTCCTGTATAGAATTCCTCTTTCTAGAAGTGGCACTGTGGCTCAAGCAATAGAGTGCTCACCTTGAGCTGAAGAGCTGGAGGACAGCGCCCAGGCCCAGCGTTCAAGACCCACCACCGACAAAAAAAAAAAAAATCCTCTTTCTGGCACAAGCTCTATGCTGTCTCACATCTGTGTTTTAACTCAGTAATCCTACAAAATTTTAAACTTCTCTCATCATAAAGTATTTGAGCACACTTATTTAATAATATTCTAATACTTTTTTTACTAAGAAATCATAAAAATAGAAGAAAGTATATATACTTAGTAAACAAGACAAATTTTCATTACTTGTGTGTATTCTACATTGAAAAATTAAAGGGACAAATTGCTCATAGAATTTTGTGAGAATTAAGTGAAACAAAACAGTTCTGGGCACACAGAAAACCCTGCAAACGCCAGCTAGCTCCATTACCATTCTTATCACCAACTTAGCTTCTTTGACTGGAAGCAGATCCACATGCCTACCTTCCAGCTTCATTTCTACTGCTTTAAGTCCAAACTCAAGTGTTATTTATTCAAAGAATTATTTGAATTCATGTTTTAAGGAATTAGAATTTTTCACTATAAGAGGTACTAAGTCAAAAGTTTTAACAAGAAGTCATGCCCGAATAAAGCTTAAACAGTTGGGAAAAACAATCAAGAATGGGTTTACATAAAACGATAAAAAAAAAAAGGGCAAAGATGCAAGTATTAAAGCTAAGAAAAATAAAACACAGGGAAATAAAGCCCTAAGAGATTAATATGCCTGTATAATAATGTTTACAGCAACAGACTAACACAAATACTAAGAAAAGGTTGTGATACAGTTCTGTGGCAGCATTGTAACAGCCCATAAGCTCTCAATTTTTTTACACTTTTTATCAACATCAAGTTGTACAAGGGGTGACTTATTTTTCCTTTCCTGGGGCTTGGACTTAGGACCTGGGCACTGCTCCTGAGATTTTTTTGCTCAGAGTTAGTGCTCTACCATTTGAGCCAGAGCTCCATTTCCAGCTTTTTGGTAGCTAACTGGAGATAAGTGTCTCACAGACTTTCTTGTCTGGAATGGCTTCAAACCTCAATCCTTATAGCTCAGCCTCCCATAACTAGGATTACAGGCATGAGTCATTGGCACCCAACAAAGGGTGACATTTTGACACTTCCACATATGTGTGCAATGTACCTTGTGTAGACTCAATCCCCTTCAGCATTCTCCCTTATCCCCCCTTCCTCACTTCCCAAGTCAATCTCAACAAGTTTCACCGTTCCTTTTTTTTTTTTTTTTTTTGGTTGGGCGTGGGGCTTGAACTCGGGGCTTGAACTCGGGGCTTGGGCGCTGTCCCTCAGCTCTTTAGCTCACGGTTAGTGCTCTACCACTTGAGCCACAGCGCTACTTCCAGTTTTCTGTTGGTTTACTGGAGATAAGGTCTCACAGACTTTCCTCCCGGGCTGGCTTTGAGCCGTGATCTTCAGATCTCTGCCTCCTGAGTAGCTAGGATTACACTGGCACCTGGCTCCACTCTTCCATTTTTTACATATATACATAAAGCATTTGGACCACCACATTAACCAGACTCCCAAACCTAGCTTAGTGACTGGGATAAGAGCTTGCTAACTTTTTTGATTTTATTTTATTGCTAAGATGCTGTGCAGAGGGCTGACAGTTACACGAGTACATTACTTGATCATTGCTACCCCTTCCCTTCCTGTTGCTGTCTCACTATCCCTCCCCACCACCCCCACCCCCACCACCTGAAGTTGCAAAGTTTGTTTTCAGCATCCTGTCCTGTGCAATGGTTCATCCTGGGTCTTTGTTTCAGCGTTCTGTTATTCCCCTTCCCCTCCCCAGATTAGACATATGTATATACAATACAAAACGCAGGGTAACAAAATCAAGTACATTGAGAACAGGGGATATGCCATAGGGGAAAGAACGCACAAAGGAAACAACAACAACAACAAAATAAAATTACATGGTACATTTAAAACAATAACAATAAAGACAGACCTGTGTCCACATCTTGGGTTTCATTTCACTTAGCATCATCTTATATGATCATTTGTACATGGTTTTTGAGCTTTTTGGCTCATCTGATAAGATTATCCTATATGTTTACTGATTATTGCAAATAAGGGAAATTATGGGACCTAAATTTCTTTGGGACTGGGTAACTTCACTTAATATGATTTTTTCCAAATCTTTCCATTTCCTAACAAATGGGGCAGTGTCATTCTTTCTGATGGAGGTATAGAATTCCATTGTATATACATATACCACATTTTCTTAATCCACTCATCTACTGAGGGGCATCTGGGTTGGTCCCATATCTTAGCTATAGTGAATATTCTTGCTAACTTTTTGACTACTGGCCTCTAACTGTGATCCTTCTGGTCTCTGATCTTTCCTCCTGAGTAGCTGGAATTACAGGTGTGAGCCACTGTGTCCAGCCAGGCATTTTAATTTAAAGCTTGTGGACAAGAAAGGGCACAGTGGCACATGTCTGTAATCGCTGCACTTTGAGGTTGTGGTAGAAAGATGGAGTTTAAAGACATCATGAGCTATAGAATGAGATCTTGTCTCTAATCAATATAAATCAAACAAACAAAACAGATAAATACTAGAATAGATAAAATATTTCACAGTAATAATTTATGAGAAATGAAATTGGGAAGGTAGAGCCTTAAGTACTATTTAATTTTAAAACACTCATATACATGTTATATTGATAACACATTTTTACAGTAATAGCAACTTTATTACATTTTGAAGTTAGATTTTGAAGATTATCCTAAAAGTGGCCCTGAGTTTATTTGCTTTAAGGTCTAATCACTTGATCTTTGAAGTGATAAACTATGCATGTGTTATTAGTTATACAGAATTGAGTTTCACACCAGTATGAACATCAAAAGAGATTTCAGGAGGCTTTAAGTCTTACCTGTAACACAGCAGCAAATAAGTACACAGCCACAAAAATTGCTGTCAGAGAAGTATGGCCACTTTTCATCAAATGGATCGTGTAGAGGAAGATCAAGTGGCCAGGAATCACCAAACCCAACAGAACTTGGGCAGACTTATTATTTACACCTAAAGCAAAAGGTAAAAGTCATTAAGATAAAATTATATTTGGGTTACTAATAAGTCATTATTAAAATTTGAATAGTATTTTTAGATATAGTATCTCCTAGCATCACAAAAATAGTTCAATTGCTAAAAATGTCAATTACTTACAATTCTCTTAATTCTTTGATATTCCCACTTGGTGTTATCAGTGAGTAAATGAAAAGTGGTTGATAAAAATTTGCTATGAAGGCCATCTGCCAAACTTTAATATCTACCATAGAATCAGGGAAGAAAAGAAAACACAGGGCTTTTCAAGCATGGGAATGTTTAATTTTATGTCTTCCTTTAGAGTTCTATTACCCATATTACATGGGTGGTAATTTCTGATTTTCATTCAAAAGTCAATAATCAAGTGGTAGAGCACTTGCCTAGCAAGCATAAAGCCCTGAATTCAATCCCCAGTACCACCAAAAAAAAAAAACCAGAAAACTGTAAAAGCTAATAATCCTATTTAGTTTCATTAGAAAAAAATGACAAGTCTTGTGAAGCTTAAACTTTTATAGAAAAGCAGAACAGGTACTACTGTTTCTGTCTTTTTTCTTTATAACAAATGAAGAAACATGGCCTTGGGAAGAACAGATAACTTTTTTGAGGGTGCTGAGCAGAGGTCAGAACAAGCATCCAGTTCCTCTGATGTGAAGCATGACTTTCTACCCCTCATAAAGCATCAAAACAAACTTACCAAGCAACAAAGCCAAGTGTTTAGTCTATCTAAACACATTTATTTCTACATTTATTCTGACTAAAGCTTGTAATGACAAAATTTATTTGGTAAATAGAAACCTTGCTTAGAAATGTTTTGCGTGGCCCTAAATGATTCACAAAAACATTAATCTCAAATGAGGAAACTGGGAATCAAGAGTTATAATACCTACAAAGCATAAGTTAGAAGGGGAGGGAGAAGAGGAATGAGGTTAGTATAACAACTGCAGAAATGATACAGATGACTGTGATCACTAAGATTAGCTCTCAGAAACAGGAAAGCTACACAACATTCACAAGCAAAATATATATTCAACAAATGTTGTCTGCCCCAAATCTCAGAGAGAAATCCACAAGCACATACCTGGGCCAAAAAAAGTCCTAAATGGGTAGTAACAACCTTTGGGTTCCTCAGGCAATTCTCCTGGGATGCTATGTAAGTGGAGGTAGGTAGAAATCCTGCTGGCCTGTATGGCCACCAAATTACCACCAATACCTGAAACATCAGGAAAACAAACAGCAGAGTTATCCTCACACTTTAAACAACGAAAGCAGCTCTCTTTGGGTCATATTTCCTGGCCAAGAAAACAAAATAAAGAGCTCTTCAGAAATGCAGGTTTGTTTATACTGTTGAGGTAAGCCAAAAGAATAAAAGAGTCACTGATTAGTTTCTCAAATCCATGAAAGTAGACCAAAGAAGACAATTTTTTAAAATCATTACCACTATTCAATATATAAAGCTAGGTAAAAATGTTGATCACTTAGTGAGAGAGGAAGGGAAACTAGATTTATTCAAATAAATGAGAGGGGAAGGGAAGCTAGATTTATTCAAATAAACAAGATTTGATATTTTTTTCTTTCCAGCTAAAGAAACTGATATAAAGTGCTGAAAATAATTATTCAAGAGGATCTGAGTTGTGAAGCTACCCTCAGCTACATAGGACTCTTTCAAAAGGAAAAAGAGAAGAAAACAAAAAGAAGGGATGGGAAATAGGGGAAAGAGAGGAAGGAAGGAAGGAAGGAAGGAAGGAAGGAAGGAAGGAAGGAA